TGTCAATTATTTTGTTTGACGTTGTTAACGTGGGTTGATGATGTGTATAGTGAATTTTTTTATTTTTGTATGACGATGTGAATTGATTTATTTGTGCAAGTTTTATAACTAACAAAATTGGTATTAATTTATTATGTGAATCTATATGTATAATTTATTTTTCTAAGATAATGTATACAATATAAATTCTTTCTTTTGGAAATTAATTAGATAAAATTACAATGGAGTTTATTAAGTTTAGATGAATAATTTCTCAAAAAACAAAAGTCTTTGCAAACTTTTGAAATATCGATGATAATAGTTAGCCATATAAAATTATGAATCATAGGTTTCATATTAAATCATTTATATAAAATATTCCAATTGCATGGTTTTTAGAAAAATTTGGAAAAATGTCACTTTTCAAAAATACCATTTTTCAAAATTATTTATTCATTATATCATTTATGTTTGGGTTAACTATATTGTATTAGGGTATAGTGTTGAGGGTTTAGGATCTGTTAGGGGTCAAACCATTTTTTAGTGTTTAGAATTTTAAGATTTATGATTAAAAAATTCATAATTAGTGGTATTTTTGCAAATGGACAATCCATAATGACATTTTTTGAAAATGTATGTAGTGACATTTTTGCAATTATCCCTATTATCCCTATGATGGTTCAATTTGGTTTGTTAACAATTGTATCAACAGTAACCATTTCGTTTATAGCACTTGTTTCTAGGGAAAATTGGAAATAAATGATTTTTTTTTTCAATTTGTTAAAATATAATATACTAGAGATTTTCCATGCGTTGCGTGGATTTAAAAATTAACATGGTAAAATATACAACAGTTCTAGCTTATTGATTATTTGTGTATTTAATATTACGAAAATGTTATTGTACTAAATAATTATCTAGGTTATAAGATTAAACATTTTGAGCAAATTGTTACGCATATAAAATGTTATATATGAAAAAAAATAGATTGTTCATTTATAAGGATTACATCGTATGCATATCGAAGATATCTGTTTTTGCCCAAATCTGCAAATTGTATGTATTTATAATTTATCAATATTCACTACGGTTCTCTAAAAAATGATAGGTTATCTTTTACTTGCATCAAATACATTTGTAAAAAAAAATCTATTGAACAGACAAGTTGTAGTATGTTTTGCTTATACTGATACATCTGCATTATCTCAACAGAGATGTTGGAATGCATCTTTGTGTTTTATTTCATTAGAACTTTAAATTGTAAGAAAATAATAATTGATGTTTGATTGTATTTTTTTTTGTCTCACTCTTTTGATCGTTTCTCTATGATTTTTATCTTTCACATCGATTCAGTTATGAATTATTTTGTTTTTCTGGATTCACAATTTGTGGATGAGTAAGGTTTTCTTTCGAGAATAATGGTTAGGAGATGATTGACAACTTTAACATTCTAACAAGTTTAAAATTCATAAAATCACTAATTAATTTTCTCACACCTTTTTTTGGTTAATGTTATGATTTTTTTTATTAAGGCTTTTTATGATTTTTTGTTTTAAAATCTTAGTTACCTATCTGAAGTTTTAAATGTTTTTGTATACTATATTTTAAGGGTTTAATATATAAAATATATATATTTTTTAAACCTTCTGAAAGTTTACAATAACACATTTAATTTGCAATTATATTTTTGGTAGATATCACTGAAAGAAAAAAACTGAAATTGATCATTAAATTGTAGGAATTAATTGTTAAAGTAATTAAAAACACTTATTTTTATTTTTTTCAATAAATAAATCAGAAAGACACATGGTCATCCTCTCATGACTTGAGTTTAGAAAAACCTTAAAATATTATATAAGATACTCATGTTTGGAAATAGAGTTAACTTGAACCATGTTAGAAATAAATGAGTAAAACATGTGTTTGGTAATTAGAATAGTAGTAGTCCAAAAATAAGAGTTAATTAAATAAAAAAAGTTGAGAAAAATTATGGTGAACGTAAGTAAAATCATCCATGAATACTTCTCCTTTAATATAGCTGCTTGGCCTACGAAATATAGCTATTAATGATCCTAATGCGATGACTATTCCTCAACCAAATGAGGTGTGTAATTTTCTATTTTAATATGATTATATAAATTTTTTTGTTTTGTCTTGGCATTTG